TCCTCTTGCTGTTTCACATGGGGAAAAAAAAAAAAAAAGTTGTTATAGAAGCCCATAAACAGCCACTCAAAGCACCTTGCCAATACTCTGTAGGTGGTTTTAGTAATAAGCCCACACATATGCATACCAAATTAAGCTTTACCAGGCAACTCTAACTGTGCTGGCTTTTACTGTTCAAGTATTCAACTCTAGGGACATCCTCTGGAAGGAGCCTTAATGGTGTAAAGTTTTCATTGTTATTTTTATGGCATTATGTAGAGACTTAAAAAAAAATTGCCTGTGTTAATGTCAAGTGCATTCTTAGCCTCAAGCTAAGTGGAAAATGGAAATATTGTTCTCCATACAGGTGGGAAGTGGAGGGACAACAAAATGAAACAGCTACACAGAGACACATAGAGGAGAGACATCTTTGAGATGACACATTTCCAAATACTGTGCTATCACAACATTAAATGCATAACTATCCTTCATCTCAGGCCCATGCACACTTCTATGGATAAGCAAATTCCTACCAGGAATTATTCTCTACTTTAAACCTCATGCTGACCACAGAGAAGTTCTAGCATGAGTAAGACAGTTGCCATTTCTATGTACATCAGTGGAGAGCCACACCAGTGGAGATTCTTTCCCCTCCTGAAAACAAAGTCTTCTAGTGTGATCTGTGTAATGGAAGGGGAAATTTTGTATTGCCTGCTGCACGATCAGCTGTCATTTCTGTGGCAATAATAACTACTCCAACCAAACAGAAAAGGCCCCTTTTTAATGCAGTTTAGCCCAAAGAAGAAAATCAATACAGAGAGGAGACAAATAATTATATTTATAATGATATTATATTCATAATTGTATTTATAATGCTCAAGAAATATTCATACAGCAGAAGAATTTCATAATGGACAACACTGTTCCAAGTTTGCCATGGTGCAACCATAAATCTATCCCATAGGGCAGATAACTACAGAGACTTGACCCTAAATTACCTAACTAAACAAACTATTCTACTTTCTGACTGACCTTGCTGGCAGGACACACTTTGCTGTCCAGCAGCCGAGCTAAACATTATGTACAACTGAGATGACATTTATCTCAAGGAAACTTGCCAGACATACTCACAGATATAAATACTGCAACCTTTTACTTATTATTTCAAGAATACAAAGGTATTTTATTATACAAATAGACCAACTGGAGGCAATTCAAAGCAGAGGAGCCTTTTCTTTTTCAAAGAATCTTTTTCAGAGATGGAAGGGAGAGAGAAGCATGCATGGTTTGCCTGAGTAAGGTTTGTCCTCTCATTCCTCCTCTGCACCATCTGTGCATCCACAGACTGCACAGGCTGTGAGAATGCAGGAGAATGAGCAGAAAGTTGCCTCATTGTTACCCTGCAGTATCCACCACAAGGAATCTCCTGGCTTTGACATAGTTGCTACACTCAGGGTCACTTTTACACCCACTTGAAGCTTACACTACTACTGAGATGGTGCATTGGAAACTGGTGTACTGTAGAAACAACCTCTGTGCTGGTTACATTATGTGGGGGCTATTGCTGAGCTCTGTAAGCACCCAGCTTTTCACAACAGAAATATAAAGCTCTGCATCTACAATCCACCCTCCCACCTGCACTGTGTCAAATCTCAGGGGGACAAAATAATAGTTTCCAAACTGTTAAAAATTCAAAGCTGAAAAGAAATCTCTAAAGAAGAGAAGTAACTGTTAGAAGTTGCAAAAGCAGCAGGAGAATATTTTAAAGAAAAATTATTAGTCTTGGTAAAGCTTCCCAGAAGTGAGATACAGGGAAAATCTCTGGCAGAAGGACCTCAGTCCATGAAATTTAAAGCCAAACCAGCGAAAGCCCTCAACAGAGCAGCTTCTCAAACAGCTGGGATACTCTCTAATGCTCCTGGCAGAAGGAAGTAAAACCTTTGTCTCACGTTCTTTAATCTGCCAGTTGCTTCCTTCAACTCCCCTTTACTACTCTGGGTACTATTAATGAATGTCTTCCAACAGAGGAGTAGCTGAGTGGAATATATTGATCCTCTCTTGCTTCTTGGCTGGGCAAACTGGCTACTGGGAAACGCTGCTCTTCAGTGCCTTTCCTTAGAAGTATGGGCACTACTTCTGATTTCTTCAGGGTTTCTCAGGCATGGAGGTGATCAGGTCCAGGGACCAATACCCACAAACGCAGCTAAAGTGCTTAGGACCTGGAAGCTTTTGCCCCAGAGCTCCCACTGACCTGTACCTGCTTGAGCTGGAGGCCAAGCTGGTAGCTGGGGCAGGGAGAAGGGCTTCTATATTCTGTGGAGGCAGAGTGTTTCTTCTATTGTCTAAATAGCACTGTTACACACCCTGTAAAGATTTCTGTATGAAGGGTGCAGAATATCGAGGTATAACGGTTTATGATTATTCCATGTGACTGCATCAGAATATAGTTCATTGGTGTGTATGGGATTGTGTATGAAAATTTCCATCAAAATCAGTTTTATTTTTCTGATACAGGCTACCGGTGAGTAATACATATATTTTCAGGGTCTGCAAAAGATGACTGGGAAAGGTATAACTGCTACAAAATCCCCTTAAATTTACTGCACTGTAAATTTCACTCTGATTTCTCATTAAAAAACCTATAGAAGTGTCCATTCTGGAAAAAAAAAATAAAAAAGCAAAACCAGAAATCACCTAACCTACTTAGTAAATGGGCTCTGTTTAAGAGGAACAGGGTGGGAAAAGTAATAGCTGAATAGAAAAAAACAGTGACCTAGAATCTAGCATGCCTCCGATGGGAGAAGATAGCACCTTAGCTGACCACCCCCATAAAAATGCTGGGGGTTTTTGCCAGATCTAGGAACCAACACATGACAGCATATAAAGTGTTAAGTGACCTACATGTAGAAGCAGAAATGATGAAGGAGGAGAGAAAGCTTTAAACAAGACTTGATGATTCCTCCCCTTTGAGGCACAAAGAGAGAAATACTTGATGAATTAGGGACCAGGACTAACTGATGAGACCCAAAAGCAGAAATGCTCAAGCAATGGCTCCAGCCCAGCTGCAAGGCAAACCAATTTTGATCAGGCTTTGCCAAAATGCTGTTCAAAATAAACTAATAAAGGGTGGCTAGCTGCAAGGAGGTGCTGGGAGTGGGAACTAGGAGAGCTCCCTCCTCTTCATTCCTACATACACATCCAGGGTGGGAGGTGATCTCATCAGAAATTATGTAACTCTGCCCATAGACTTCAAGGCAGGGACTGTAGGTGATCCGGTCCTAAGATGTTCTGTAACACTTTACAATCTCAGGGTCCATTCTGAAGCTTTAAGAAAACTGGCAGTGCCCTTGCTACCATCAGTGCCTTGTTGTGGCTGGCCTGCTGAGGTAGTCACAGTCAGCAGGAGAGGAAGCACCTCTTGGCCCTGTGTGAGAGCAGAGGTGCATGATTCAGTACTGGTTTACATGGATGGTTAAAGGGCCTGATGGCAAGACTCAGAGGATACTCAGAGGGGCCACAGAAGGTCAAAAGCGTGTGCAAATTAGGACTCACAGCAACCCACAGGAAGAAAACAACACTGTAGGAATACAGGTTCCCTAGAAATAGCCATTACTTAAATTCTCTTCTTAATTTAACTCACAGATAGATAAGGACAGCTCAAAACACCTCTGAGCTGTTGTTGGGACTCTGCCTGCATTATGGTATTGAAGTTTGCCCCTAGATTATAAAGTAGTTAGAATGTATTTCCACTCCCACTCCTGAAAAATCTAGTGCTGTGATTTGGTGGAAACCATAATGCCTTGTATTGGATTTGCTTCTTAATATTTAATACTCACTTTTTTATACACAGAAATAATTGGTATCAGTAATCCTGGAATGTTACATACTACTAAGATAGAAAACAAACAAAAGAAGCAACAGAAAGTGTCCTTTTGCTGTAACTTTGGTAGTCAGTTGCGCTATTCATTCTGTGATGTACATGAAAGCTGTTTCAGCCCTTGCTGGCTTTCCTGGAAATGTAATGCTGTCCTTAGCTTTACAGCTGAATAAAATTTTGGTTCCTCCCCTGTACCTGATATCAGACCTGGTGTTTAGCGGGGCAGTGCATTAACCAGAGAAAAGGAATCAAAATGAGACAGCGTCAGTTCAAGTTAAAATTCATAGTTTCAAGCAGGACAATATAGAGACAGAAAGTTGAAAAAGGGAGCTCTACCATGTCCTGTCTCCCCTGAGAGAAGGGATGTCTGCTCTGGTCCAGACATCACACACTGCAGCAGCGTCAGCACTCTTTTGGTATAAACAGGGAGCCAAGTCTGCTGGTATCAACAAGCCAGTGATTTTAGGCTCCTGCAACATCAGAGGGGATTGCCTTCGATAGAGTGGGGTGAAAATGAGGGCAGAGTCGGGCACATTTGCCTTGGCTGGAAGCAGAAACCAGACCTTCAGCATTTCATTCAAGCTACACAGAAAAATCCTTCAGCGCAGCCTATTGCAAAGGCATGACACTGTCTGCAGAAATGAGACTGGGCATGCCTGCCAGGAGCCTTGAGGAGGATACTCTCTCTCATTTACCAAGGCACTGCATCATCCAGGCTGACCCGAGCTGCTGCCAGTATTTACAAAGACACGGAGAAGCGTCAAAGCCCCCTGGCAGAGGCAGTGGAGCGCGCAGGCTGCCGCCGGCAGATGTAGCGTGTCCCCAGGAGCCGGGGACAGGCGGGCACACGGACACGGACACGGACACGGACACGCGCGGTGCGTGCGCGCAGCCCGCCGAGGTAAGTCCAGCCCCCAGCATCCAGCGGGGCCATCCTTCTGCTGCTGGATTTTTCCAGCCGGAGCATCCTGCCGGCTCTGCCGTGATTTATGGAAAGCGGTTTCTGACGCGGGGCTTTTTCTATTACGACACGGACCCACGGACTGGAGGAGGCAAAGCTGCAGTCAGGGCAGAAGTGAGGGAGGGGAAGAGGAGGGAGCAGAGGGACACGGAGGAGTGGAGAGGACAGAGGGAGAAACAGACACCGAGACACTTCAGAGATGGGTGAGTTATAACTAAGAGAGCAGGAGCAAAGGCACAGAAAGGAAGAGAAGGAGAGCCGCGAGGAAGGGAAAGGGAAAGGAGATCAGAGACTGAGTCAGCTTCCAGAGGGCAAACACCAGGAGACGAGTTCAGGGAACACCCCAGCACATCAAGAAGGACCTGTTCTGTCTGAATCTTCACCATGAGCACGAGGAAGAGCTGCCCCCTGCCACTGGGGCAAGGAGACCAGGAGGAGAAGCAGAGTGAGGGTACTCCCGACCTGGAGCGACAGGAGTGTGAGATGGAGCTGAGGAACAAAGCTATTCTGCAACAGAAGAGGCGCCTCAAACAGGCCACCCAGTTTGTGCACAAGGACTCTGCTGATCTGCTGCCCCTGGATGGCTTGACAAGGCTTGGCACCTCCAAGGATCTGGTGAGTCCAGTGGGATCCCGTTTGGGAGGGGGGTTCCCCTAATAGCCTTCATTCCAGTTGGGAGCTGCTGGCAGGTTTTGTGAAAGGATCATAACTTCAGCAAAAATGAAACTTCCCTTCAGGATCATCTAGGAGTGGGTCAGAGAAAGGGGAAAGAATTAATCACTCATTTGCTTGCATCCATCTTCTTGTGCCTCCCTATAGGAACCAAACTCCTCAGGCAGGCATGGACAGGAAGGACTCTCCAGAATCCAAATTTCCATTCACCCAATACCTATGTATGTTCATGTGACATGTATATTTCCATGTGGGACGTCTCTGAAAGCCCCATGTATTCCTGCATGATCCAGCTCAAAAGCAGGACTCAGCAGGGAGGGAAGTACAATTCATTAAATTGTGAGAGACTTGTGTTTGACCTTGTCACCTTTTTGCATTTTTCTCTCTTCCCCCACTCTCCAGATTTATGGAGGGGAAAGCAAGGGGCAGGACTGCAAACCAGGCAGGCAGGCAGGCAGATGCAGTACCTGGCACTCTGGATGACTCCTTTGGGGAGGAGGCACCAGAGCGAGGCCTGTGGGCATCTCCTTGTGGTGACGTGGATCAGGGAGCATCAGGGAGGGAGGTCTGTTCCAGCAGCCTTGGCAGCCTGTGGTCTGGAAGGGCTTCCCCGGGGCTGGAAGCAGATTCCCACAGGATCTATTACTGGTTCAACTGCACACATATTCTCCTTGCTCTGGCAGTTTTGCTGTCCCACTTCTCTCCACTGTAGAGTTAAACTGCTCAAGGATGTGGAGGTCTAAACCATTTTCCCAAAAGAAGGCTCACGTCTGGTTGTGATGGGGGCACAGTCACTTGTTCCATCTGTGGCAGTGGGTGTCATAAAAGATCTTGTCCCTCCCTGCAGTCTGTGCTTCCCTCTGTATCCTCAGACAATCGCAGCAACACCACAGATGCTCTCATGCATGTGCCTCCAGTCATTTCCCAGCTCCCGAGGCACACAGTGGCACAAGGCCACACATGTGTAGGACCTGGCATAATGGGAGCTAATCCTCCTTGCTGAAACCTTGGCTGCAGCAGCTCGCAGACAAGGGGTCAGTGCCACGTTCCTGCGCTGGCACATCCTGCTGCTCCCACCACCCTCCCCGCAGCTCCCTCAGCAGCTGCTGGGAGTCCCTGGCATGGCAGGTCAAGGGCGGCTCCTCCAAGGCTTCCTGAGCTGTCGCCTCACGGTCTGCAGCCGCACTCAGGCTGTGAGCGGGGACCCGTGTGGACTGTCCCTCCTCATGGCTGTCAGCAGGGACCCGTGTGGACTGTCCCTCCTCACGGCTGTCAGGAGGGACCAGGGTGGACTGTCCCTCCGGCCCTGCGCGCAGTCACGGCTGGAGGGTGAGAGCCGTGGCACATCAGTGCTGTCTTGGCGAGGAGCCGGGACTCTCCTCCCCGTGGGGAAGGAGCTCTGGCCATGCTGGCGCCCGGAGAGCCAGCGCGGGCCCTCGGGGCCTGCAGCGCCGCGGCTCCAACACCCCGCGGAGCACAGCCGGGCGCGGCGCTGGGCCCGTCCCCGGGCAGGGTATGGGGACGAGCCACTTCTGGGACTTCTGGTGTGTATTTGCTGACCCCAGCCACAAAGGCAGGCAGAAACACATCTGCCAGCTTTGCTTTGGGATTGACTGCTGTCACACCATGCCTCAAAGCGACAACTGGCACCCTGAAGCCCTAAGGGGTTCCTTGAGCGAGACAGTCCTTGTCTAAATCACTTGCCGCAAGCAGCTCTCCTGCTGGAAATAACCATTCCAGGCAGGAGAACTCGGTGTATGCCAACAGCGTTCGGTCACTGCAACCCACTGCAAGCTCATGTTTGGTCTATAAAGAATAGCTGAAACATTTTTACCATGGAGCTAGGGAGCAGTAAATAAAGCATGATGTGTTTTTCTCACATGGACATTTTGCTCTGGAGTTAGAGGGCACAAAATAAAGTGTGGCCACAGTGCCATACCTGGGGTTAATGTGATACCTGTGTTTCTGCTTTAACTTGGAGCAAAAGAAGAACCAGGTCTTAGATTTCCAAGCAGGATTCAGCAGTTCCTGCAACTCGGTGGGACACTGTGATACTGCTGCGATGTTTTGGGCACTGCAAATCAGAGTCCCAAATACACTTTTGGCTTATTTTTCTAGACATTTCTCCAGCGCTATGAAAACCCCATCTCTTTCTCCTTAATTATCTGGCTCCCTCCTGGAGGACAGGAATACAAAAAAGGAATGTACTGAAAATGAAGCAGCAGTAGGATGTGCTGGAGAGTTTGATTTGGAGAGAGAGAGTAAAACACCCCTGACTCCTATAGCACTTACACTGGGAGGAAAGTTTAATTAATTCCCCAAAACAGGTCTCCATTAACACTGCCAGAGACTCCAGCTGTGGCAGCTCCATGTCCTAAAACTAGAGCAAGGCCTCAACTAATTTAAAATAAAATACCTGCTTTCTTTTGCAGCCACAAGCTGTTACTTTTTGCCACTCTTTTCTGTGTATTCTGGGTGTGCACTCAGCTTATGCAATGCATCCAGAAGTGCCTGCATTTTGATGGGCCCATCATATCTCAAATAATGAGTAATTATATATTTCCGTGGAGATCTCATGTTTCCACCTTTGCAACAAAAAGTGTGATAAGTTTTGGGTTTTTTTAAAATGGAAAAAAAAAAGCAAAATAGCTACATGAGCTAAAATATTCTGGAAGTACCAAGAAGGTCTGAAGATCTGGCTTCTCACCTCCCAAAAATCAAGATCCCCAGCTCATACAATGTCACTAATCATAGCAAGGCCTGGAGGTTTCACATTGGAGAAGCTGAACCTTTTCTGTTGCACTGGGAATCTTCTTTGATCCCTCTAAGTGCCCTGAGAGGGCATCCTTTCCAGCTCCTGGCCACAACACTCACAGCATCCTCCCTTACCATCCTCTAATTGTTTCTGACGAGTCCAAGAGCTACAATGCTCTCTCCACTTCTCCATCTCACTGGTGAGAGAGAAGACAGGCAGGGCCCTGGGACTCTGCTCTTGAATCAGATGCCTCCAAAATCCCAAAGATCAGCTAATCCCCACCAGCACTTGGTCTCTTCCCTGCCTGAGTGACAAGAAGGGGACAGAGGTGGCAGCTGCAAAGAGCTTGCTCACTCGTTCTGTGGGAAAGGTTGCAGGAAGGGGGAAAGGTCCTTTGCATGCCAGATTGTGAGAGGCATGAGGGAGGATGGGAGTTTGGAGACCTGCTGTTTGTTCCCTGCCCTTTTCCCATGGCCCACATGTTAGCTGGCAGCCAAACTGGCATGGTGCTCAGAGTATTTAGGGAGCTAAGCACAAGGGCCAGCTGTGCTGTGGGCCGGCACAGCAGGCTGGGAAAAGACCAGGAACAGAGGGATATTTTTACCCCATTTTTTCAACTGCTGCAGCGTTTCTCATGCAGCATGTGAAGGATCTGACACTCACCCCTTGAGTGGCAGGGAAGCAGAGGCATGAGGGACTTGGCATCTTGCAAAGAGCAATGCTGAGTGTGGCCAAAGAGCCAGTGACAGCCGTCCTGCACCGACCACTGGGCAAATCTGACAAATCAGGGTGCTTCAGATTGCAGCTGCACACTTCTCTGGCCTCAGGTCTCTGAGGCTAGTCTGAAACACAAGTAACCCTGTGGGGTTAATGCAACCCAGCTCACTGGCAGGTCTGGTCTAGTTCAGGTGTTTGGCCTGCCCATTGACAAGATCCTGCATCAAACTGCTGCACCACCTGGGAGATGACTTAATTTTTTCTTTTTCTTTAGAAAGATAAAAACAACATTTTAAACTGTAGCACAATAACCCCTTTAGATTGTTTGCCTTTCTTCAAACAGGCTGTTGTTACTGGAAATGCCATGACCAGCCCAGAGCAGCTGCTGTCCTGCAGAAGGGCCATGGGGCTGAGTACACGGAGAAAGGACAAAGCTACCTGCAACAGGCACCTGTTTCATTGGTGTTGCCCATTGTTGATTCAGTAGCTGTGCAGGGACTGGATGGATCAATAGTGGGCAAAATCTAGAGCATCTGATGGTGAGGAGCAGAGACGGACTCCAAGGAACATTAGAAGCTGGTTTTAGTTTCCTCCTTGGGGAGCTTCCTGCTTCACTGCAAATAATTGCTTGTACACCTAAAATATCTGCAGTCCTGCCTTCTTGCCCACATGTGCATGCTGTGTTCCTCGTGCCCTCCCACACTGGAAGGTGTGAATGTGCCTGGTGGGATGTCAGCACACACTCAGCAGGCAGTGCACTGCATTATGCTGAACAGGAATGAGACTCTCCAGTGCACGTTTTGCTGAAGGAACAGATATGTGTGGGGAGAGCATGCATCAGGCATGTTCTTCTCCTCCAACAATTGCATCCCAGAGAGCTGCCTGTCATAGACGTCTCAACATTTTAACACCAAATTAGCAGCTACCAAAAAAAATTATTGGGATTTAAAGAACATTTTTTTGATAAGCATGTCTGTCATCAGGACAATCAGTTGGGTCAAGCATTTCCAGCCTGCTTCCCAGACCTATCAAATATCGTTGTTCTTAGCTCCATACTTAGCTGGGATTTCTCTTTCTTTGTGATGGAGACAGCAGCCTCATAGTGTGGTCCAGCGGCGCCTCTTGGAAGGCAACCTGAACAAGCTGCGGGGCGAGGCCAGGGGTCAGTCTGCACGGGTTCAATCTCCACTGGCAAAAGACCAGGATGAAAAGATGGAAAAGGGAGAGGACAGGAGAAAAGAGACTTCACCCCTGCTAATACAGTGCCAGGTAAGGCAACAACACAGTGCTGCTGATTTCACAGTGATGGCAAATGCTCAGAGTTCCAGATGCCCCCCTCCCAAGGGCCATGGTGAATTATAAATTGCAAAGCCAGCTGCAGACAAAAAGAAGAGATTTCATGCATGGCCTCTCCTAGAGTCTGGATGCAGGTTTTCCAAAAGCCAGAGGAAAGCCTTTCTGCTACATGCCTTCTTCTAGTTGCCCATATTTGAATATAAATTACCTTCATCACATCTCTTTCCTTTGAAGGCCAGCTTTCCCATGATATGAGGTATTTTATAACTGTTTGTAGAAGGAATGTCTCCTTATCACTTGAAGACAGGTGCCTCTAGCTGATTTACATTTAACCAATTCCAGTCTAGTCTGATTCTCTCAGGTGTCAAAGGAGCTCCTCAGAAAGTGGCTAACTGTGCTCCAAATGAGCACAGCTGTATCTCTTGATGGAAGTAGTATTTTTAGCTTCCTTTTCTTCTTATATCCTCCTATATACAGCAGAGCACACTACTCCCTGGCCCCTGCAGTTAGAGAAAGCACATCCAAAAGCTGTGGCCCACGGACGAGAGCTGGATGGTTAGAGCTGCCCAGTAACATGCAGATATGAGACTCACCAAGACACAGACCTGTTGTACAAAACCAATTTTAAAGCTGGTTTTAGTTCAGTTACCCATCCTAAAGAATGTCTCCCATATTCAAGTGTAAAGGCTACACTTCCAAGAAAAACATGTATACCTTTGAAAACTCATTTAGCACAATAAATTATAATAGGAACACAGCCTGGTAGCAAGTTTCTGAAAGGCTTAGATCAGGTATCTCAGTACCAAGCAAAGCCACTGTTTGGTTTGTTTTGCAGCCTTTACTGCTGCAGTTAGGCATTGCTTACCCTGCATTTTAGACTTTAATGTGGCTGGGTTAACATAACCACACCTGGGGACAGACTAGTAGGATGAATGGCTCTCAGGGTAATTTCTCTAATTACTTGGAGCTTGTTTTTGAGCAAGTAAAGGTGTTTATTTTTCTTTAATAACCACTCCTTATTGTTCTGCAGGAGGAAATTTAGTGATAAAGGGTGGGGTTTTGCCAGGCATGCACACTGAACAAGGACAGGCATGTACAGGTGTTGTATCCCAGGGGCAGTAGCTAAGTCAGCGTTACAGTCCACCAGGCATTCCCTTTTGTGTTTCTAATGCACTGAACCCCAGCTGTCACCCACGTTTTATTTTCCCTCACAGAGGAAGGTTAATGAGCATCACAAGCAAGGAAATAGACCTAACACTGCATGTAACTCTCCCTGAATTCCGCACAGGCGTTTCTCTCTTTTTCTGCCCTTCTTAGGAGCCAGTCACTGTTTGTCACACTTGATCTTACAATGAAGGAAGGGAAGCTCTCCTCCCCTTCTTTTTGTCTTGCTGCTTTTGATGTTCACATTTAGGAACTTCAAAAAGCCTCTGCTGTCAGTAACAGAGCTGTGGCAGGAAATAGGATTCAGGCTGCCAGTTCATTTGAACCAGAGAGGTGAGCTGGTACCTTTGGAGATCTGCTTGATTATAGTGCAGTTTTTTTAGAAATGGAGCACAGCCCCAGAGAAGTCTTTTTTTTCTCCTGACTCCTGAGAAAAGATAATCTACCATTTACACACAGGCAAGTATGCTGAAAATCTCAAAGTGGTAACAAATGCATCACCTGACTTGTAACTGAATTTGACTAGGGAATAAACCCAAATATATGTAGACTTTGGTGGTACGTGGAGATTCAGGCAGTAAGTGGTTTCACTCTAACAGGTTTTAGTTGCCCTATGTCTAAGGCCTTTTAAGTCCCAGAGATCACAGACAGACCCAGTCTATAATAGTTGGACTGCAGTCACCCTCCTATTTGCTTAGGTGTGTTGCCCAGGTGGTACTTTAGCTGAATTGCCCCTTTTTATAAAAGTTTTTGAAGAGCACTTTAGAAAGCTAGTCATGACTGGCCCATATCTGCAACATAAAATCAAGCTGTTATTTCTTGTGGTGGGGCTTGTCTCTTGTTGACTTGGAAATTGATGCTGAAAAATTTCACTGCTGTAGATGGCCGGTTTTCCTCTATGCCAAAGCAACCTGGGATGGATGAGCCTTTTGTTTGCTAAAGCAGCTTGACTTTGGAACTGACATAATTTCAGAAAACATAGCTTTTTATAATGATTCTTAGTGAGTCCCCTTCCCTTCTTTCTCAGAAATTCCTGTAATTAACATTTAGATAAAAAATAAACGTGACTGGTAGTAACAGACTTAAAATTCTGGAGTAAAGATGAGAGTGGGTAAAGTGATGAGAAGTCCTCCTAGGCAAGAAGTCTTGCAGTGCTTATGAGCTGCCTACATGGTATTTTTGGTATGTTGGACCAGGGACTTTCCTCAGGCTCCTGGTGAGTTCTCTAGGGAGATGGTTAGTGGTGAAGAGCTGTTTACACTCAGTGAGATTAAATGTTGTTTTCTACAGAATAATCACTGTCCTATTATATACTATCAAGCCCCTAACTTGCAGATTTCCCAGCCTGCTCTGAAACAAACCTCAGTAATCTGCCTAGTGATACAGCTTAGGCTTATTATAACAGCAGCAGCTCATGCATCTCAATCTGCTGCTCCCAAGTGATTCTTTAGCAATTGCTATCTATGCTCCAGGTCTTGTTTCTGAGTAGAGAGGATCTGGAGGCAATGTTTGGCATGCACCTTCACTCTGTGCTTTCTCTTGCCTCTTTGCTCAGACTGGCCACAGCCTTTTCAGGCAGGGCTGATGTGTTGGGGAGGACGAGGAGCACAGACATTGCAGAGCTCTAAAATCAGAAGGGAGACATTTTGCCATAGAATGGTTTGGGCTGAAAGGGACCCTGTTGGTATTGTCTGTTTGCAGCATCCAGTATTTCTCACAGGAGTTGTTTTCTTCTTTCTCTTTATAAATACTCACAGATAGCAAATTTTTGAAAATGAAATCTTGGAAATAGTGGATGTAGCTGTCTGTGATGATTAATAATCATACACAGGCTTAGATAAGAAATCAGGAAATTGAGACATTTTCCTTGACCCTGCTGGTGCTGCACTGAGTCCCTCATGCTGGTCTGCTTAAGGTGTTCAAGCATTTAAACTTGTCTGGACTGAGCATAAGAGTAGAGAAGAAGTGGAAGGTCTGTTGCTGCTTCTGAGTGGTTCATGTCACAGAGTGCCATAGTAGATGGAAGAGAAGGAATCACAGGAAAAACACAAATAATAGTAGGAATACAATGAACCCCCCAAAAGGAAAATTTTGTGGGTGAGGTTTTTTGGGTGGGTTTTTTTTTTTTTGGGCAGTGGTGTAGGACAGAGCCTTGAAGAAGTAGGCCATCAAGAATAGGTATTATTAGGCACTATAGGTAAAGATGTATTTTGTAGATAACAGTTACTCCGTCTTTTCCAGTTCCTTTACTAAGTCCTGTTCCTCCTTTTTTTTTTTTTTCTTCAACCTAATTCTTATTGATGTTCTTGATGACCCTATGTTTCGAGACCCCTAAAATAAATGTGACCTGCTGTTTCTTCATCACCTCAGGACTGCCATTAAGGATCTCTCTGCAGAGGGGACAGAAAACAGATGGCAACCTTATCTTCTTTTCCCTTTCATGTGCAAAGGGGTAAAGAAATGAAATTAGCAAAGCACTGGGAACTATTCCAGTAAAATCATGCACAGGTTACTTGGGTGCAGGGCACAGTCTCCCCCTTTGCTAAATGACACCAGCTGTGACTATTGTAATATCATGTCTTATATCCATAAAGAGCTATACAGGAATATGATGTAAGCCCTACACAAAATAGTCATCTCTTGATTAGGTTGTGTCTTGGATTCAGGAGTCACATGGATTTGCCATTTATCTTGGGAACTGCCTTAAATTCAAGCTCATTCCAGTTGTGTTTGTCCTGGGTGCTCCTGCTTCCCCTTCAGACTTCTCCCTCTGGCAGCTTTTCTACTGAGGACTAACATTTAGTCCTGGGACATTGTTCCCTGCAATATCAGAAAAAATGGAGAGATGAAACCCAGAAAATCTAGCACGTTTGTATTCCTTGAGAAACTTTTGCATATTACTTATTGCTCTGCTAAAAAAGTCCATGTTGGTTTCATGAACAAATTCCCGAACTGTGCATCTCTTGACTGGAATACTGTTAAGTTAAAGTCACTAAGATAAGTGTCTGGGCAATCAAATACAAATGAAGGAAGACAAATTCAAAAAGAAGTGTTTGAGAGCGATTTGCAGAGCACTGGGGAAACCACCATTGTCTTGGATGAAACTCTTGCCTTCTGACTACTGCCTAAAACACCACAACTTGGCTATGTTGCTCAGAAAATCCAAATCATACTGTTGGAGGAGTGAATATGCCAATTTTGAGCCTACAGTAATTATCTGTTGTTGTTTTTTCTAGTGCCAAGGTCAGGTATTGAAAGCAACTGTTAATACTGGGTGTCTACCAAACCTCATCTCCAAGAGGTGTTTAAACCAGCTGGGGTAAGTCTTTGCACAGTATAAAAGGAGGGAAGGCTAAAGAAAAACCATGGCAAGAACCCAGGCACTCTGGAGTCCCAGCCCCAGGGATAATGGCTGGCAGTTCTGCATGTGCACATGGCTGTTGAGGAGAAGATGCAGAGGGTGGGCTACAGGGAAAGCTATTGAGCACTGGCAAAGGTGTGTGCAGACCCCAGACTCTGAGGGAGAGCTGTGCAATTCTGTCTGCATGTATTGCAAGGCAAAGCTGCCCAGCTGGTGGCTGGTGCTGAGGTTTTGCTCGTTGAATCTGCCTCCAGGCATATGGTATGAAAGACATTCCCCCTCTTGTGGGCCTATTCCCAGTGAGACCCAGAAGAACTGCCATCAATGAGAAGTCCTGGTTTTCCTCTTCTTCCTCCGTTTGAGGCAATAATACCTCTTGTGTCCCACAGGCTGGAAGAAGTGTCTGCCATGGACTGTGGAGACCTCTCTCTTCCCATCCCCAGCGTTGTTGGTCGAGTAGAACATTTGGAATTGCAATTTGGCCAGGAGACAGTGTTGTGTTCAGCACTGGTTGTAGGTGAGAGTGCCAGCCCCTCCTCTCCCTTATTTCTCCTGTGTCCCTCTTGCCATGCCAAGGGCATTTAAAGGACCTTTGGAAAAAGCATAACATGGTGGAAGGTTGGTGATGTGGCCACCTCCACTGCAGGCCAACATCACCATACACAATGAATACCCTCAATGTAACCAAAGGCAAAGGGCATAGGAAGAGTACAGAGAAGACAGAAGACATTGAAAGTGGGGAGAAATTAGGTGCTTTTTCAGTCTTAACTAAGGATGTGAAAAATTCTCATTTTGATTCTAAAATGGACCTTTCATAAAATTCTGCAGATGGCTTGATTAATCCTGTGGTGCCTTATGTTCTGCTATGGAATGGGCACTTGTATCTCTGGCTGGTTGGAAGTCATCCGAGAAAGTAACAGAGGGTACAGCTTATTTCCTAGAGTGCTTCTCTGTGTGGCCCTCTGCCTCTGCTGCAGGGAGCACCCTGAAAGGACCTACAAGCCCCAGAGTGCTGAGTCTCCTTCGGTGTCCTGAAGCAGGACCTTGTGAAGGAAGGAGCCATAGGAAACAAGGTCAGGCCAGAGGGCACTGAGGCAGGCCCAGAAAACAGCAGAAAGGCTGCATGTTCTGCATTACATCAAGCTGTGCATATGCTGAAAACAACATGATTGTCTTTTTTCCCCCCCTGTTCTTTCTCCCTGTTAGTCTTCCAGCCCTACCTTCTTGCTTTAATCTGTTTCCCCATCTTCAATGAGTCCTGCTCATCTTCCAAGGCCTCCCTTGCTCCCTCTTTTCATGTATATTCTTTCCACATTCCTAAGTTATCTAGAAAGAGCTTCCTCCTTTTACACACTCCAGCTTGCTCTTTTTTCCTGGTTTCCACTCTGCTTGTTCTCGCCCTTCATGGGAAATCTGTATTAGTACCAGCACAGGTGAATTTACCCCATAGCTACTACTGACTACCTGTTTTGTTGGAACATGGAAATGGCTGCCTGGAAGGAGCAGAGTTGCTACACCTGTGTCTTACATCTTCCTATGCACACAATGCTCTCACTTATGTGATTATAAATAAACTACAAATTACAGCCACTGGTTACAGAGCAATCAGGCCTCCAGGAGACATGTGAAGTGTTAATGAAATTACAAGTGGCTGCTGATTACTGCAGACTCCAGGAGCTGGGAATTCCCCTTAGCTACCCCACTTTAACCCCTAGCATCTTCTGTTTGCTGACACTGAAGACTTGCAGCAGTAGGACAGACGACAGACAAGTTACATGGGAAAAAAACCCCAAACCTTAATAAAATTATTTAATAAGATCAGTTAGATTGCAGCCATTATGTGCAGGCTTTGGTCAGAAAACTGAACCAATAGCCTGCTTGCATGTGGCCCTTATCCCCTCTCCCCTCCATTTTCCCATGCTTTTTCTCCCTGATTCACCTTGCTGATTGCCTTCTGCCTTTTGCCCTTCCCTCACACAGCCCATAGTAAGTTTCATGGGATCTCACAAGCCCCTTCTGATATCTCATTAAGTTTCAAACAATCACACAAACCCCCTCAAATTTATCTCACAGTAGTCATGATAATCATGGTTTCCTTCTCTTATCAGCTGCAAAGTTCATTTTGACCATCTTCAGGACTGTGCCTAAACAGCTCCTTTAAAGGCTCATCAGTGAGTGGCAGAAGAGAGAGATTTATTATTGTCACTGCTACCATCTGCTTGTTAATGTTGGTGTGTTTAACTCATCCTTTTCCTTGCTATTTTTTATCTGCTTTACATTGATTCATAAAAATTTATGAATCAGATGTTCTTGTATTTCATATCCTTTTACAGGAGAGACACACTTTCTTTAATGAGGCAGTATTGCATAATCTAAAGCCTGATCAGTCTCTTCTCTCTTCTCAGATGATGAAATGCTGGAGTTTTGCATTGGCCTCCAGACACTGTTGTCTCTTAAGGTAAGGAACAATTCCTTGCTTATTGCAGGGCTCCTCTCAAGAAGCTCTCCCAGATCTGGTTGTTGTAAGCATCAGAATTACTTAATGTTCAGGTCTCTCAGGGCAATGCTTGTCACACAGCTGCCTGACTGGGTGCAGTATGCTCTGAGTCACTGATTCCTTTCCAGTCCTTCTTAAAGGTTTTAAGAAAGAAAACACTCAGTAGGATACTATCACATCTCCCATTCTCTGTATTTCTCACCATACAACATGCAAGCAGCAAGAGGAAACTGAAGAGGAGACAAGAAAAGGCACGAGTTAGACCCGTGTTGCCCTTTGAAAGCAGATGAGAACAAGCTGTGCCCTTGCTTTAAGCCAAATGCAGCTGTATGATACATTCAGTGTCCAACACTTGCTGGCCATGAGTGGAAAGAGTCCTTTTTTCAGCTTGGCTCAGGGTCAGTGCTCTGCTGAGCCTGGCTCCTGGGTGGCTCAGGATATGGCTGCAGCAAGCTGGCTCTGGCCTGTCACACATTTGTGGCCACATGCCAGGCTCATAAAACAGGAAAAACAATGGGTTGAATGGCTGAGTGATGTGAGCACATCAACTCAGAGAGGGTCATAAGAAGAAGGGAGAGAAATGGCTCTGTGAAGGGTTTGGAGATGAACCCCACTACAGGGAACTGGAGCAAGGAGGCAGCATGTAGGACAGGGAAGGAAAACTGTAAGGTCTCTGCAAATCCAGAGAGGCGTTACAGGTTCTCCCCAGTCATGGACATCGTGAGATTTGCTGTCTGAAATGTCCAGTAAATAACTGTCTCTCTCCTTCTTTAGTGTTGCATCGACTTGGAGGAAGGAGTCCTGAGATTTAAAGCACTCAGTGAGGAGCTGCCTTTTCTACATGCCTCTGAAGAGCCTGGTCAGTGACTGGCTGCATTCCCCATGTCTGGAGACTTGCTGCCATGAGAGAGATGAGGGTGAGGCTCCCATGCCCCTAACCTTGCTGAGTTCTAGGCTGAGGCATTCAATGGGGAGTGAGAAAAAGGCAAGTAGGTGCTGGAAGCTGTCACTGGGAGTGCCTCAACTTGAGATATCCTTCCTTTCAGTGGACCCTCTTGCTTGTCCTGATGTGCCAAGTGGGCATTTTGTTCTTGTTCTGCTATTTGGCCCTAGTCACTCCAATTTCTGGTTCTGTAATAAATTTATGCTACCCCTTTAATGACTTTACAACACACTGTTCACAAGAGAGTCTCTGTGAACAATCTCCAGTTGTTCTATTGACAGGAGAACAGCGTTTTCTTCAAAGACCTCCAAAGATTACCACAAATGTTTCCCTTCTTGTTGCCTCAATGCCAGCGTACACCAGTCCTGTTTCTTTGTCAGAAGGGCTCTGTTCCCTTTGTCTGTACTCTGGGAAGCTGGATTTTGCTGCTTTTTGCTGGCTCAGAGCAGAACAGAAGTATTTTCTTGGGAAAACTGTGGCAAAAACAGTTTTAGAGTTCTCTGTTCTAAGAAACTTTTGCAGAAATGTTGAGTGCAGATGCCTAAAGCACTGACAGGGGCTTGGGCTTTGCCATTGCATCTCTGGGCACTAAGCTATATTATATGAATGGCAATGCTTACCATCTCTTGGTGTATACCCTGTAACCAGACTTGCACACCCTGTTCTTCTGGCCAGGCCACTCCTCTCTGCACTCCAGCTGCTAGAGCTGCATCCCTGTTCCCTCTGCTGCCTCATCAGAGATCCTGCCACTCAGTTTAAATGCTGCGATGAATTACAGCACCGAGTCTTCTGCTCTGTCAGCTCCTTTCCTCCAACTTGAAATCCAATGATTAAACACAGACACATCATCAGCCTTGAGTCCTGGCATCACACAGCCCATCAACTTGGCTTCTCTTGCACCAAATGAGAATTTGTAGTATCAGCTCAGGTTAGAAAGCTGTGAACTCATCTGGAATGTTAAAGGTGATTATTAAGTCACTTAACAATTGGGTTTATTTAATTTCCTTAATTTCTTTTTAATTTCCCTACTAAAGCATAGGTATATTAAACATGCATAATCTATTCTTAACTAGCTCTATGAAAAATGCACTAGATCAGGGCTTGCTCCATCCCTCATGGCTACTGATTCACTATCCAAACTGCAAAATATACCTTTATCCACCTTTAAAAGGCTGTGACAACCTCATTTTGCCTATTTTCCTGGATTAAACACTGCTGACTCTCTTCCTTTTCTATCCAACTGGTCATTGTCTCTGTTGTGCTCCTCAGAAAACATGTGTATGCATTTTTTTTTTTTGTTTTGTTTTTTTTTTTTGTTAGTTCTTTTCTCTACAGCTGTATGCTGTAGTTTAACACAGGCTAGGGACATCAGAGTAAAGCCTGGCTGATATGATTTGGGATTCACTTACCAGTGATAGTTGGCATTGCTGGCATCTGCTGCTCCCACAAGGAGCAGCAGACTTTTACTGTTACTCATCATATCTTGCAGCTTCTGATACATTCCTTGACTTCTCTGCCACTCTTCTACTTGTGCATCTATTTCTGGCTGCATGAACTGCTTTCCACGAATCTCTCGAGTGACACCAATGGTTCTCTCATTTAGTCAGGAAAACATGCCTGCTCCATGAGCCTGTCTTCCAAAGTAGCAGTAATTCCTCCTGGATTTGTATCACTTGCATGCCTGACTGGCTTCTCAAATCTCTATCAAGGGGTCTAGATAGCTCACATTTGTACTAAACCATCTTGTATTCTAGCTGCAGTCTACGTGGTGCCTGGGCCAATTCTGCTGACAAAATCTTGCTTGTGATAGACAAAACACCTGTTGCTATATGCATCGACTCACCCGGTTTCCAACTCCTACTGCCCTCTAAAAACAGCATGTAGAACAAGGGCAAATAATCTATACATACAGATACCATGTCCATTACAAATCTTATTAATTTCTATGATCCATTAAAAAAACCCCTCTAAATCACAACCCAAAAGCTGACTTTAGCCCTAACCCAAACAATAAACCCTAACAATGACCCGAAATCTAAGATGTAAGGCACTAAATCCTAATCCTAAATTTAACCCCTAAAACAAACTGTAACACTTAATGCTAATTTTAACACCTAAATCAAATCTCCACCTCCTAACTATAAAATATAACATCAAAAATAACCCCCTAAATTTAACACTCTAACTCCAACATTTACCATGTGACTTTAAACCCAAGACAGAATCATAAAGACATTAACTACAAACACTGATCCCAAAACCTAACCATTATCCCCAACCCTAAACTCCAACCATGAAGATAACCGCAGCCCCTAAACCTAAACTCCAAGGCCTAAACCTAACCCCAAACTCTAAACCCCAAACCATATAACAAAACCTAACCCCAACTCCAAACACATCCCTAACCCTACACCTAACCACAACCACCTAACCCTATCTGATGGCTTTTGTCATTCCCACAAGGGGCCTTGCTTCCCTCCAGAGCACCTGGGGCTTTTGCTGAGTTTTGCTTTGCCCTGCAAGGGGCCCTGCTCCCTTTCAGAGTGTCCCAGGGCTTTTGCCAGGCCCATATAGGGCCCTGCTTCCTGTGGATCACCACAGGACTTTTCTTGGGCTTTGCTGGTGCCCAGGCAGGTCTCTGCTGCCTTCCAGAGTGTCTGACAGCTTTCGCTGGGCTTTGCTGGTGCCCACAAGTGCACGGGAAGGGGAGAGCCACCAACAGCTCCAAGTCCTGGGCACTTCCTCATGAGAGCAGCACCCGGTGTCAGTTTTGCAGTTGGGCCCTGGCTAGGGCAAGGGTGCCTTCAGACCAAAGCCAACAGGAATCTTTCCAATGATTTAAAAGGAGTGTTGGATGGGATCCTACAGAAAACTGCCATGACTTTCAGTTGACAGTTCTGTCTTGACCACTGCCTGTCACTTGCAGCCCTGCAGATACTGCACACTAGCTGCTGCTGGAATTCACTAGGTGCTGTTCCTACATGTTGGTCTTGGAATAACTGCTTTTGGTCATATTCAGAACACCCTCCAGCATTTCTGAAGCCTTTCTGTTGATCACATGCCTCATATCCTAAACCACTAACAGTTCAGGCTCATCTGTGAATTAATGTGCTACAGCAGGTGCAAATCTCCAGCCCTCTCGTCTCTGCTTAGTGACTCCTTCTTTGCACCCTCCTTACCTTCTGTTCACACTGGTAAATGACAAATGTCTTTCAAAAAGGAATTACTTCTCTTTTGGAGAATCCTTTTAACACTTGCCTTGTACCCTGGCTACTAAAACACCCCCATATTGTGCCACAATCTTGTGAGGCTTTCGTCTTTGTTGTAAACAACTGCATGTATAAATTCTCAGATACAGAGAGGATGTTTCCAAAAAAGCACTAAATTAGTGTGAGTTCTTTTCTCAGCTCTGAAATCAGCTCCATGGCAGAAGACATGCTCTTCACCTTCCTCCTATCCATGTCAGCTGAACACACAGATCCACTCAGTAAAAGTCTCTTTTGTCCAGACATTGAGGAATCTGTTGCCAACGGTTATCTTGGAACCTACCCATCAAGCTTTGCTGCAGGCAGAACTTCCAGGAAAAAACCCATTTATGTGACTAAATGAGAACTGCAGGTCATGATGCCATGGCAGACACCTCACTTCAACCCATTCACTAAATCACAGTCAAATCCTACAGGGCCAGTACCTGCTTTCCTCATCAACACAGCTCCTGGTGGGTTTTCAACTCCCCAAGTTACTTGGCATAAAATGACACGCTGTTACTGCATTTCACATGTGCATTCTGAATTCTAGCCCACAAACATTTTTCTTTCTCCAAAGCATTTTTGTGTCATTACATCTGAAGCATAACCTTCATTGTGAAAGAAGGAAGTCTTGGCTTTAAAATGTGATTGTAAAATAGGACTTACAACATCTCAAAGAAGCCAACTCAACTCCCATCTACAAACATGGTAATTTTTAAGTCTTCCAACACTGGGAAGCACAGTAAGTAATTTTTGAATGGGCTGGCAAGGCTGAAGACTGTCTTAATTGTAGTTTCTCTTGGAAAAACCTATTATACAGATATACTTCCCTACTCCCCATTCCAGTCTTCTCTATTGCTTTTGGGAGATAAAGGGAACAAAGGAATAATCTAAAGGTCTTTTTCACTGAAGATCAAAAAATGCTAACACTTTCATACAGAAAGCAGAAGTTCAGTACAAACTGCTAGCTCAGAGCAGGACATAGGCACATCCTGCATGTGTCCAGTACTGGCTTCCTTGTGATGAGGCCTGTCCCTTCAATATAAAAAATGGAATGTTATTATTTTAGGGATAATCTCTTTGAACCACCTTGGTGGTCAGTTCCTATCAGGGCTGCTTTCTAATAGAGGGCACAGCAGCTGTGGAAAAGCCTGCAGGGAAACACCTGCCATGGCAAATCTCTGGAACAGTGTGCAATATAGCCAGGAGTGAGGAGAAGGACTTCTGCAATATACCCAGGAGTGAGGAGAAGGACTTCTGTCCTTCCTGAGAACATGCACTCTGCCAAAGCCATAATCAGGACCACTTCCAGGAGCTTGGGGGTCATTTGGTTTTACACAGAACAGGAGCTGCAGCCATCCATATTCCCAGAGGCTTGCTCCTTCTTTTACTACCAGCAGGTGAGCAATGGCATTGAAGACCATTTAGCCACATACCTATGTTTGCATTCAATGCTCCTTTCAAGAGACTCCAGTGGCACATGCCAGGATACACCTAAAGAGTTATAGAAATAACTAAATTATAGCAGAAAGATCATTAAAAACAAGGGCAGGGATGGAGAGCAGGTTTATTATGTCTCAGGAAAATAAGGCAACCCCTTCCCTTTATTTTTTTGCTAGTAAATTGAGCATCAGAACCAAAGCCATGAATCATTTATCTGCAAATACCCCCAGTGCCTGAGAACACTGTCAGACTCCTCACTTGCTGTGTGCTGGCACTGGGACATACAAAG